GGTCAACGTCAATAGAAACAAACGGTGGGAAATATCACCTGTACATATTATTCAAATAGAGCAACCTATTTATTTTTAAAACAATACAAAAAATTAATGACTCATTTAAACCTATTTCAGAACCGAAAAAGCTCCCAGAAAGGTCAATAGGCAAGGGGTGCCGGCGAGTAACCTGAGCCGTTTTTCACATTTATACAGTTTCTAGAGGGGTCGATTTCAATGTCAAATTCGCTCTATTAACGCGCAGCAGCTGGGATTTTAATTTAATCGGAAACTTTTCCCTCTATCAGAAGCAGGGATAAGTTAGCTACCTTGCCACTGGTCACCGGTGTTAAGGGTGTGCGGTGTAATACTGGAAACTTGCAAAATCTGTTTGGTAGTCAAATTTGTGGATTCCATGCTAAAGCGACTGCCTCCAGTGCTCAAAAATGAAGAAGAGTAAATGGCACATGGACGGGATGAAAGTGCAATACCTGTATAAAGTCTATGAGTCATTTTAATAAATAAATTACAGTTACGTTTTCTACTGTGACAATGTTATCTTACAACTGATGCACTAGCAAAAATCGTTGAAATTGCGAAATTGTACATTTTATTTCAATGTGGCTAATAGAAGCAGTGATATAAGTGGGTATTATGACAGATATGTCTGATGTGGGGCAATGGCATATACAATCCTGTGAATGAGGCTGGAAAAACGAAGCATTGAAAGGAACAAATGTGATAAAAATCACGATGTTTGCACGAGTTTGGTCAATACCTGTATATGTCCCAGGGTAGTAGGCAAGGCAACAGAATCATTTTAGATAAGTCAGTTGCTTGTTTTGCGATCCATTCTCTTTTTCTGGAATACGATTTTGGACAGATCAAAAAAAGATCAGGAGCCGTGGTGGTAGGTAGCTTGACTTTCGTTCTGTTGGGGCCATATATTTCCATCGCCATCACAAATCCCCAGGTCTTCAATTTTTGTTTACTATAAGTGACTGTGATGTTTACCCTCTCTGCTGTTCATCATATAATAATGCACAATAAAAGTACCCTTATTTAGTCGCTGGTCACGATCGTGTACAGAATTGTGATATTTCACCTTGAAAACCGCTGATCATCTAGAAAAGCCATTTTATTAAGCTAAGGCTCAAATTATTCACAGTTGAACATCAAATTAATTACCGATTCCTTATTGACCACTTTTGGTTGCGCCCGTAACATAGGTGACCAATGGAAGCAGATGAAACAGGCAGTGTATTTGGCAAGGGGCTGTCCTTGAGGATCCCAGCCCAAAAGCATGATGGTTTGAAAGATTCATATCCAAAATAAGGAATGATTGTTATAGTCTAGAGGAACATCGCCCCCTGGATCTGAGACGGAATCATTAGCCCTATTGAACAATTCATACCACCACCAGTTTCCACGACCGTGCTGGCGACGATGCCTCTTACCCAGGTTTATAATCCAATATTACCACTTTTCCTCTACTGGGCTTACTGAACCACTGTCATAAGCTACTTTCACGACTCTTCGTTTCGGACGAACACTCTAGTGAAGCGGTTACACCACTTGGTGTGGCACTCGTAACTGTTTGAATCCTCACTTCTGGTATAACTTGTTTCTTCGCCGATGTCGCAATCTTGGTCGTTGAGTTCGCCAAAATTCGGCAAGACATGCACTTATTGGATTTCCTTAATAGATATCGTTGGGAATTTCATAAATTTAAGAATTCAAGATCCACCGTCATGTATCGCAGTCTTCTGCCAGTAAATGGCTTCATGGAATCGAGAACAAGCCGGGTTTAAATGTTTGTTAATTAAATGAGTTTTTACTGTGTGGATACAATGATTATTCGCCACGAATAAGCTGTCGATTCCGTGCTACTATCCCAAGTACAGCTGCTCTTATTTGTTTCTAGTTCCTTTAATCTGTTCGGTTTAGGCTTCTTCATACATCATCTTCAATGAAATTTATCGTCAGTGTTGCTGGTAATAGAATTTTCTGTCATTTAGCCTCATGTGTAGCTTGAAAGTTTAATTTTTTTCCTCGAACTCTCCCGTAGTCTTGACTCCCCAATGTCCATAAAAAAACTCGTTTATTTTCCACTTTTTCTCGATTCAGCAACTCGATTTTGTTGCTCAGGCCCACGAGCGTTTACATCAGTGTATCCAGTTAACAATGCAAGAATTCTTCGAAATCAAATCTACAAATTCCGATGCCGTACTACGGGAGAACCAAGTTAGTTCTTCATTTTTATAATCAGCAACCGTTCCGTGAAATTTTCACCGGCGTATTTATCACTAGAAATAGCTCTCCAAATAACAAATTTTATCATGCTTAAAATTAAGATCATGATCACCTCAATCTTTTTACGGCATTTAGCACTTTTGTGGTGCTAATTTAATGCCATTTGTACTCACACTTGAACGGATCACGAACGATTGCAACTTTGGGAATGATTATTTCCTGGTCATAGTGTTATGAGGTTCTACTCACACGTGTGCTTAGTATCTTTGGAGAGCGCACGAGCATGCGATCGGTGGTTTCTCACAACGGTCAAAAATGAACACGGCCTCCTGGTGCGAAGCAGAGTCCTTACGATTGTAGCCACAGACAATGCATATCTACGTTCGGACTGTTCAGTCAGTTATCCTGCGTGCTTGTTGAAAATTTGTTTGGTCTGTTTCAGATGCGACGCTTCGGTTTGTTTAACACAGTATACCTATACTCCTATCGTTGTTCTCAATCAATAATTTTCTTCAGTCCGGCACTGCCTTCTGGACTTATAACCGGAAAAATGGCGACAATTTTTCTGAGTCCGCGAATAAGACTCATGTTTCTTTTTCATCACTGCACTTGTGGCGTTGTTCAGAGAATCCGGTTGGACTCGGATCGTCCATGATATCCTCACTCCCAAATAATTCACTGTCTTCCTTTAATTGGCACTTTATCGTATTATGCTTTATTTGACTACTGACGCTCTACACATGCTCCTGCTCTTCCACTTTTCCCGGTGAGATTCGCACACATCTGGCGCAAAAAAGATGTTTGAACTACCGGTTGAACTACACTTTTTCCCATCAAGCTTTAACCAAAACCCGCAATCCTTTAGCCTCCACCCGCAATCGTTTAGCCAAAACCCGAAATGCTTTAGCCAAAACCCACATTTGGCCAAAACCCGAAACGCTTTAGCCTCGACCCGCAATCCTTTAGCCTTGACCTACAATCTGTTAGCCAAAACCTGCAATTCTTTAGCCACGACCCGCAGTCCTTTAGCCTCGACGCACAACGTGTAGTCACACCGCTGTAGGCGAGTCAGAACAAAAACTATCGGAGTATTCTGAGGTCAACGAATATTGAAAAAATTTATATTTTACAGATTTTGATATTGCAAAGCTTGACTAATAAATGAGGTGTGGCGATCGTATGCTGCGTAGTTGACTGTAGTAATGGTATCAAATACCGCACCACATAGTGATTGGAGTAGGTTTAGACGATGTGCCCGTATCGTCAAACCATTTGGTACATCTCTTATGACTTCAGTGTTTTCAGTGAGCCAGTTTTTAATGTACTAAATAATAAGCGAATTAAAGGATTAAAATTGACTCCCTGTTTGAATTTACTGAAGATTTCTTCCAATAGATTAAAAAAGGGACTGTATGGTGGGAGAAATCGGACTTGGTGGTTGATATTTAATTGCGCATCCAAAGCTCTCCGATGAACAGGCGCATTGTCAAAAATAAAAACTACTGGGACACCTGGTTGTTCAGTGGCGATTAGTGTAGAGCAGCTTCATAGGAACCCATTGAAAACATGCCAAGTAATCTTTGTATGACATTCATATTTCAGGATACCGGTGACAGATGAACATGCTATTATGTTCACGTTGTGTCCTTTGCTGGACCGGAGGCTTCTAATGGCTTTACAGCCCACTTTGGATCTTCCATAGCTGCGACAGGACAATATGTTGTAATTGGTCTCGTCAATATGCAGTCTCAAGATTGCGTTGCCCGATCTCTGTAACCAATCGGCATATTCCGCTCGTTTCAAGTTGACAGCTTCCGAGTTCCGTTCCATGGGCTGGATGGTCAGCTTCTTAATTGAATAGTGATGTCCATTCAGCTATCAATCAATGAAAGTCTTGCTGATAGATGTACCTGGGAAGTCCGTCTCCATGCGTTCCTTTAATTACCTCAACGTGGCTGTAGGCTTCTCATTGATAACATCACATAAATGTTTTGTGAACTCGTCGTTGAATTTGGGCTAAAGCTTGATGGGAAAAGGTGTATTTGGCTTTCCCAATGCGCTCAAAATCTAATGTATACTAAATGCACGGAAGGCCCACATGCTAAAAATATACTTATCTTGCTTTCATATGTAATTGTAAGGATAATTAATGTCCACTATCCGTAACAGTTGAATTCTTGTGAATGCATGGGTAATCCTTGAAGATAGTCGTTTACTATGGTGAAAACAAGACTTTCATAAGCCCTATTCGGTGAAGACATTTTCTTGGTTCTTGTTATATCTTCAATAAGACTGTTCGTTTATGTGCGTAACCATGACACGTTTCCAGCATGACCTATCAGTCTGATTCCTTTCGGAGTTGCCATATTATTCTCTCCTCGTTTCTCCCTTAGTTGGTACTGGATACTGTGTGTCAGTTTGAAAAGGAACTGGACACTGAGCTGTCTTCTTTGGAGTCCGAACTTGATCAAGAGAAGAACGGTGAGAAAGTTGGTATTTTTCATCAATTTGTTGTCCAATCTTGAGTCTGATTGATCATTTGATATTTCGAAATTTATTTCTTATCTTTGTGTATAATAGGCAGCCAATAAGTAGGAGTCACCAAAGTCCCTGGAGTATCTCGCCACTGTCTGTTGTAATTCGTACAAAGATGGATACACAGGCACATTCAGAGAACAGATAGCTTGAATACGTGTGTATGTGGACCAGAGCTAGCCGGATGTAAAGTGGTCGTCGAAGTTTAGATCACAAATCCAAAGTTTGATCATCACTGCGTCCCAAAATGAATGGCCACACCTTACATTTCGTTGAGTTCACAGGACGCGAAGTAATTTGAAGTAACATTCTTGGCACAATTTGAAATTTATTTGTAAAAGATGTTGAATAGAAGGTAATGATTTGTGGATTTTAAATGACTCCTGGTGGATGGTAAACATGGTCTGACACTTATTGAGTCTGTAAAACCTAAATCTCTGCGTTGTTTAGATTGACCTGAGTAAGCTCACGGTTTCTATCCTATGCGTTCTCAACTCCGGATCCCAAAATATCGGGTATTCTTCTGTTCTAATTTGATATCACACTGAGAACAATGTGAACATATTCAAGACCAAGGATTTCCAACCAGGATATTTTATCTAAACGATTTGGTCTTCGTTGTTTTAGAATGAGTTCCATCTATCAGCTCTAAAGTACACTTATCTTATTTTGCCTCCGAATCACTTTCTTTTTTTCCTACAGCTGCCAAAGAACTTCGAGAAATCTCACAAATGTTCAAGGCCAAAACGTCACGTAAGTTGATCATCCCCATTGTATCGATAAAAAAGTATGCCATACCTGAGTTCGCAGCCCCTGATTTTTCAATAATTGGAAATGGTCCCGACTAACTTTCCAGAAATCTGTCCTAAATGACGGAAATATGCACGTAGTGTCATGCAAACCGTATCTTTTACTCTTCAATATGCTATAGCAAAAGCGCAGATATTTCTATTGTATACGAGTTTCCTTCAAGAACTTCCGTCATTATTTGGTGAAATCAAAATTATGGATGGTTGGATCAATATTTACGATTGTCCTTCAATGGTTAGATCTCGCTCATCACTTGTATTCATAATGCCCTAACCTGCTTTCGAGTCCTTGTTACCTGTCAAATCTCTGTTCTGATAAAATCGACACACCTCTTTCTCTTTTTGGATATATTTGTTCTTCACGCCGCTACACAGAACTCAGATCCATTGTTGACGAAACAGAGCAAACTGCACTTCAAGTAAACCAGGTCCGAGCTGCTAATCAAAAACTCAATCAGGAACTCTCCGAATGCGTTCGTCACGTTGTTCGTGACACAGATCTCCGACCCGATGTTATCCTCGGCCCGCCTGGTGCAACTGAACTCTATGTTCCTTTGAACGCATTTACTGGACAAATGCGCACGGCGGATGTGCAAAGTGTTCAAGAGGTTTCTAACAAGCAAGTTCAAGTTCCACATGTACCTTTGACAAATTGAAAAGCTATCTCTTTGTATAAATTGATTCGTGCTTGATTGAAGGCCAGTGTCTTTTCAACGGCCGTGCTCTATCTCGTACATACACAATTCTGCAAAAAAATAACGCAGAATGGACTTGAAAAATCTCTGTTTGTTAAGGCTCATAGTTTCAGTTTCAGTTTGTTCAACCATTAACCANCGCCGATTTTTGTTGCTGTCTATTGGTGCCACATTTGGATAAAAGAGTAGAATAAAAATTGGAATGTGGAAAGCAAATTCAAGCGGAAGATGGAGAATTCATATAGAATAGTGATAGGAGAATAATGAGTGGATGCACGAGCGCCACTGTCTGCGACACCCAGCCATATCACTCAGTATCTCTAACCATCGGTTACGATCATCCCAAGGTCCCCATCCAGGGAGCCTAACGGGACTTATGTGACCCAGATTCTTAGTTAGGGTTTTCATACCCTTATGTCAGGTCCTAGCTTGACCACCCTGGGCTTTATTCCACCCACTACCTGCCTCGGCAAACGTCGCTCGCTGTGGCAACTTATTTGGTGACATGCGTAACACATGCCCCAATTAGCGTAATCTATGGAGGTCGACTACTTGCTCCAGTGGGCGAACGCGGTTGCCTAAGACTTTGCGCCTGACCTCAGCATTGCTCATCCAGCTGCCCCACCAAACTCGTGCAATGCTGCGTAGGCAGCGATGTTCAAACACCGACAGTCTATCTTTGTCCTGTTTTCTTAACGGCCAATTTTCTGTTCCATTTAGCATAACTGGCCGAACAGCTGCAGCATACACTCGCCCCTTTAAAGACAACCGGATGTCGCGACGGCGCCACAGATGTCTCGAATTGGCAAATGCCAACCGAGCCTTTTATATGGGAGCTGACGCCTCTCATGTAATCACAGATTACATGTGATGCAGATTTCCTCATCAAAGTGCTGGATCGGGAAACCGGCTTGATAGGCCATCGACTGTCTATTCAAGTGGGAAAAAGCTTTAGTACACCATCTGGTTTGATTAGGCTGTGAAATACCCCCCTCCCCACAATAATCACGAAACGGATGAATACACTAAATTTACGGAGTTATCTCAAAGCTATGAACTGGATGGCATAAAATGAACGCTTGATTCGCCCTAGTTGAAATGCGAACCTTTTGAACAAATTACTCTTAATAGATCGACAGATTTTCAGGTCGTTCCTTTTGTATGATGCAAGCAAATAAGGCAGTATATCCATTGTGAGTTGGCGTCACAACATCTGCCCGTGCAGTTTATTTTTTCTTAGTGTTTAGGATGTCATGCACTCACCTATGGAGGACAAACCTGTGTCTCTTCTATAACAAGCAGAAATTGTCCAGCGTCTTTCAGCTGGTTTTACCTGACAATATATCGTATGGAAAAATTTGCCTGTCAGTGATTTTAATTACGAAGCCACTTCCTTCTGATTATTTTATCTCATAAATAGAAGGTGTAATACCTAAAGAACAAGTAGACCCTGTTGATAACCAAAACAATTTTATGCACTTTCAAACTTGCCACGAGTTTTTCAACTACATTTCGCACCGATAAAATATGTTCTAACTCTCCCTCTATTTTATGGAAAATGTACAGTGATCACAAAATCATATTGTATGCAGCAGATTTGTTCGGTAGTTCCACGTACAGCAGTTGGGGTTAATCTTGTGAATGCGCCAGTTTTTCATTGATTTCTGGTTGTCTTCTCTATCCTAGATTCTCTCCAGCCGATGTAACCTGTCTTTCTTACGAGAATCACACGTATGTCATCCGAACATTGTTCGGTCTGATCCGAATCATGGTCACCTGCAATCCGATTCTTCCGACAACCGTCACTCGTGCAGATATACCGAAACTGGTACACAAACCCGACCAGTTGATCGTGCAATCAGTGAACGTAATGCTGACTCCAGAGGGTACGCTCGCCTTTACCGTGTGCTTTATCTGCTTGCTTTCCAACGCCTCACAATCGAATACATGGTCGGGTGTATCCCAGATTACCATCATCATCATACACCGAATACAGTGAAGCGAACTTCACTGATCGCTGATCACCAAATTGAAATGATCGCTCTTCCAACAAACCTTAAATCTTTTACTGTATTATGACACATTTTATATTTAATTAGTGAATAAACCATGTAGATTTATGCGAGCACTGACGGCCGTCAGACCATGGTACAATGGGCTGGTATTGTCTATTCGTTTGTTAGAATTCTTCGAATTGGCTGTTGGCTTTTTCAGATATCATAACCACTTTGGCGGATCCCTTGGCGTTTCAGTCGGTCTCACACGCAGTTCACCTTGATACCAACCCTCATACTGTTAGCTATTTTTGTAAACAGAACCAATGACCGGTTTACCGTTTCAGCTACAAAGTCAGAATTGAGTGTGCGCCGCTACTCGATATACCATACAAAATGACTAAATCCGAAAATTCCATTGCACGTAGACAACCGGTACCGTGGATTTTGACTCAATATCTACTATTGTGAATCAATAAGGAAAAAATTGAGTTACCTGCCATTTCTTTCCATCGATTTTTTGCAGTTTCTTGGGTTGCAGGTCATCAGTTAAAAGTCTGCTGTTTCATTCACGATCAGTTCATTTCCCTGGGTATATCTAACTAGAAGCCAATCCTAACGAGCAGACCAATAACCGAAGTAGTTGCACACACACACAAATCATAAATCTTCACAGAAAGTTGTGCTTTATGCGCTTGAAAGAGCTCTCATAGGGAGTCCTGAAGCATACAGCTCTAATTGGTGATCCCCCCAACAAATGCAAATGGTTTCACTCAAAGAATGGTATCCTTGAATATCGGACATAGATGTGGACAAAGATATCACAAAAAGAGGTCCTTGATCGGAAGTCACATCGTTGGCATAGACAATGACCGAAAGTCTGATCAAAGAAGCAGTGATGATGCATCATTATAGGTCACCATCACGTAGGCTCAGAATTCACTCGTTTGGCTCTCAGCACTTCTGCGCCGACAGATTTTACCAAGGCCTATCCTTTCTCAAATTGTTCTGTGCAGTCGTTTACCCAGTGGAGGAAACCGAAAGTGTATACAATTAGGATAATAAACCTCTGCCTGACTATATCGTTTTTTTGCGTCACCGCACAGAGTACTATCATAGACTTTTTCTAAGGATGCCATGAGTTTTTGCCAGCTAAGTGGCAACTTCAAATAGTCGAGCATCCAGTCTTTGTCTAAAAAACAGTTTCTCTCGCATCAATGGATTCGGATAGGGTCAAATGGAAATCAAAATCTAGGCTTTCTTTTCATTGATGATTTCGAATTATTCTCATTGCATCAGTTATTGCACCACGAGACTGTGAGGCTGTACATACTTTGGCCGAAAACGTGGTCCATTGGTTCAACTCGCGTGAGGGACGCACACAGTTCTGCAATCGACTGGTTGGTGTGACCCTGGAGAAATCGGTTTGGGTGAGTGAATTTGTGATGCATATCTCAGTCGTTCATTCGCAGCAGTTTTCGTAATCTTGTTTCCTTAAAATAGTGAACTAACTCGTTGTTGAATAAACTTGTTTTGGTCATTCTGAACGGTATTGGTGTGTGCTGAATGACTGTGACTCCACATCGCTTCCATGCAATGTGTCCTCCGTAAAACAACTCGATCAACTCCAACAAGAATGGAATTCGAGTCCAATGTTTCTCGAGTGTCAGGTGGTTGACTGGATAAGGTGAGGATTGTGTGCGAAAATGGTTAGTCCTAATCATGGTCACTTACCCCACATAATTACTCGTAAAGGAGTTAAATGCCTATAGGGAACAGTCAAGAGAAACCTGAGTCGATTTTCGTGAAGCAATTCAAGGCCGGCAGGCAGTGGATGGAAAAAGTCACATGGTCAAACAAAGACCACTTTCAGTTTGTAAAACCATCAACTATGCCCTTTGTGTGCCAGTCTTGGTTCACTTTCATGACTGCACACTTTAATAAAGCCGTAGAAGAAAGACCAAGTGGGGAACTTCAGTAGACTACGACAGCAAAAAAATGAAAGATGCACAAAGGCACTGTTTACGACACTCAGACACCTCATCCAGTGTCTCTAACTCTTGATTACAATGATCCCGAGATCGCCAACCAGGGAACTCAACGCGATCTTTTTGACCAAACCTCCTGTCAGGGTTTTCATACCCCCGCGCTAGGTCTCGGTTTTAACACCCTTGGTTTTTTTAAACTACCTGCATCGGAAAACATCGCATACCGTGGCAATCTATTCGGTGACATGCGTCACACATGCCCCAGACAGGGAAATCAATGGTCTACCACTTGCCCCACTGAGCAGCCGCGGTTACCTAAACCTGCGCCTAAACTCAGCATTCCTCGTCCGGTTGCCCCATGAGATTCGTTGCAGTGTTGTCTAGACAGCGCTATTCAAACACCGACAGTCTATCTTCATCCTGTTTTTGTAACGGCTAAGTTTCTACACCGTAAAGCAGAACTGGCCGAGCTGTCACAACATACATTCAACGGCCATCCGGATGTGCCACAGAGTCCTCAGAATGTCATTCGAGCCTTCTGTATGGGAGCTGACACTTCATTCATGATGCGTCCACCGCGTGAGATACAGCCACGATTGCAACAAAACTTGTCCACTTGCTTTATTAATTCGCCAGTTAAAGTGAGGCCAAATGTGGGACCAACGCAGTCCTGCAGGAAAATTTTACACTTGTGCAAAACGTATACCGAACATAGCTACACTAACACTCGAACTATATAGAAGCGCTTGCAACCTACCTGGATCTTCAATTAGCGGTACAACGTCATCCGCATAATTCAAACGCAGCAGTCTGCCATCTGGGAGGAAACTGATGCCACTATCCTCGCACGAGGATAGTGCAGTTTCCATAACAAATCTATGATAAAGGTAAGGTAAATAGAAACCCGGACGGTTGTAAAACCTGAAACTCACCGTAAACTAGATTTGAAAACGTCAAGAAAAAGCTATGTTGGCTCAACGAACAGCTCACCTTTATGAATATTCCAGATATGCTTCTACTCTATCTAAGTTTATGATTTACACGCGTGAATCGTTTATCGATGTTCACTCGCCGATCCGTAGTAACACCACCATGCTCGGACTTAGCTTTACTTTGAAGTGTTCCATGCACTAAAATTTGTGTATGGATTTGTTCTGCCAGTGGTTTGCACTCTCGATACTGTACATACATTGTTACTCACCAATGGTTTGAATGTTTTGTTCCAGTACGTGGAATACACCATGGCACCCTGTTTCCTGCTAGCTGGTGATTTACGAGCTATATTTCTGAGTGGCCAGGGTGTGAAACTAGAATGTACTCCGCCGCTCGAAGCGATATTCGCAACACCTGGCCAACGGTCCATACTACATCGATCCGTCATGTCCGCCTCAGTGAGTGGTGACACAAGCGAACTCAAATCGGGCTGTTGTTGGGATCGCAGTCCCCTTGATAGACCGATCCCGGGAGGACCGTTTTAGTAAGTGCCAGCGATCTCTTTCAGGGATAATGTATAGAAGCACCTAAGCTATGGTTCCCTATTTTAATTCTGAATAATGACTTAATCGGGTCATATCAATCTTTGGTGGTGATTCATATTTTTATTCCAGACACCACTTGACGTGCTGAGGATCAGTACAAAATGACCCATCTCCTGAGGTGGCTCTTTTGTACTTCTCTTTAGTGGTGAAATATCACAAATTATTAAGCCTAGATGAGCCAAACTTTGAGTGTTGCGAAGATATTTGTAAGTTTACAACTGTAAGGCATTTTATCTGCATCAACGCGCAGCTGGTTTCCAGTTCATCTAGCAGAGTGAGTTAGTCGCGTAAATGTAAAATATGGCATTCTGTTCGCCACTTGGTCTTGGAAATTTCCAGTCCCATCGTCCGTTAGAATTAACACAGTCAGGAACAAAGATTAGCCAGTGCACAGTCATCTACAATATTTTATCTTTTAGTATTACTGTGAAGTTATCTCATCAAGACACGCTGACGGTGCTCCTCATACGGATTGTACTGCCCAGTTTGGAATCAGATGGTGCGCAACCACCAGATGTGTCCGTCAAAGTTGTACTTGGGCAACTGAAGTGAGTTATTTTACTTTCAAGTAGGATTGTTTACAACTGAATAATTTTTCGGCAATGCTTGAGATCCGAACGACAAACAAGCTGCACACGATTCGTCTGCTGTGGTCTAATTTTTTAAAGTTGAGGTAAATGTGTAGTTTTGTTCGCCTTTAAGACGAACGTCTTTGATGCAGTCTATCCACTTGCCGTGATGTTAACCTTCTATTTAATCTTTGTATGCTTGTACACGTTCGTTCACCATAACCCCTTTTGCCATATGCATGTTTTTTTTGAGTCAGCGATTGAGAAGTTTGAATAAGATGTTGATATCTCGCGGCATCTGATACATTTGATACGTATGTTATTCCACAGATTGATATACCGAAGTACGAGTTAAATCCATGCAAGTCCCTACCCGTCAATCGTTTCATACCTAGATTTTCATTTGGGTACAATCCCTCGTATCAACTAACGAGTACTCCTGTTTTAGGGCGGGCGAACTCGACAAGGTGACGGAGCTGTGCAAGGTATATCCCGGTTATATACACAAAGCCGTACAAATGGTGCAACAGTTCCTGTCTGCAACATGTGCTTAACTTATCTCTGTGCTTTTCTTTTTTTCTCGTTAACCTGTATGTATATTCTCTGTA